TCTTCGTTTATACACGGCCGTTTTTATCGAGGAGCGCGCGAGCTTACCGTTAAACGCTGCGATGCTTTTATACGAGATGATACTTCGGGGAAGTGTGGTCGTGGCCCCGAGCATCCCGAGCGTTCAGCCTCCGAAGATTTTATTGGGCGTTGGCATTAAAGTTCGTTTGGGTATTTTTGTTTTATGTGGCGCTACGTGAGATAGGCTTTACGCGCGGGACCGTGAAATATCGTAAGCCATGATCTGGAAAAATGTATATGTTATTGAAGCCGTAAGAACATAGAGGCGCCGTTAAAGATTCTTAGTCTTACCGATGCATGACCGATCAATGCAGATAGGAAAAGCGTTATTGCATTACTTATATTTCAAGCAATTGCAAGCTTTAATATATCGTAATGTAATCTTATATCGACGTCTTGTTGTTCAAATTTGTGCTTCTGAAATCATGAGCGGCTGTCAAAAATGCATCGCGCGATAATTTATTTAATTAAAAAGTGACATTTTGTTGTGCAAAAGATGATTAATCGACAAAACCAGATTTCGATAAAAATGGATTTGAAGGATTAGTGTTTTATGTGAAATCCAATACGCGTTATTACGCTTGAAGAAGTCGGAAAAAAAATTTGAGAAATGTCTATCAATCTAAATTTCAAAAGATAGGTAAAATTATGAAAGTATTGAGAATACGTTTAAGTAATGCTTAACCTAACGTTGTAATTAATCATTTTTCACTCGTTGAAAATATGAAATTTTTGCTTCTCAATAGACAATAAAATTTGAAGAATTCGGGATTTTTAAAGAAGCCAACTTTTCTTCCATGTATGTATTTATTAGCTTTTAGAAATTGGAATTTTAATGTATGTCTTTTGTGTGCGTGCGTGTGCGTGTGTACGCCAATAGAAATATACGCAATTGCATTATTAATATATATATATATATATATATATATATATCTTGCTCTATATGTACTATTGGTTTTTATAAAAGTCAATACAAGCGTTCCTCGACGCTCT